CAGATGCGTACAGTGTTCTAGACAACTCCAGCTTCTTGTCCATTTGCTTACAACAAGATAGTAGCTAGAAGAATATACTCCAGAAGTTTAAAGTTGTTCCAGCAAGAAATAAGGATGCTGTGGTCTCTGAAAGTCAATGGCACATAATATGACTATGATGACAAGTATAAAATCTAGCTCTAAAAGGATTTCAAACAATTCTATTGAGGTAAAATGACTTGATTAATGATCCTGAGTGTGGAATCTGTAGAAAAAAGGAACAGAACAGTCAAAATATGGCATGAAAGAATGAACCATGCAGGCTGAATCTACATTATGGATGCAACTGTCGTTCTAGACAATGGTATCAAAACAAAACTTTGCATACACAAAGATCTACTGATAGGCCAGTTGCATACCTAATTCTGAGCTGTTCTGGCCAGTCCCAGTACTATTATATACCTAGATAGTGTACACCATTTTCCAAACAGCGACAATAACAAGCAAAATATACTTACATTTCAGACTGAAAACTAACCAATTGATTCTATACCTTTTTGCTTCAAGTTTGAATTTGCTTCTTAGAGCTATAGACTACCCACCATCTCGTAAACTGCACAAAACTAAACACAGCTTTAGCCACCACTTGGCAGCCATTATGACGTCACTTGGAAAATAAAATTCACGTGAGCTTACCATTGGCGTCGCGACTGTTGTGTCTAAGAATAGAATTCTGTTCTATTTTTGAAACAAAATGATTACAAGATCAAAGTAACCACAGAAGTTGCTAGCAACATGTTGGGCCTAGTGTATGGAGGCCTTAATGCCCACCATCCACTATTCAACTTTGTTGAAAGCAACTTTGTGGTTACTTTGATCTTAGGGCAACTCTGTTGCCTAAAATAGAACTGAGTTCTATTTTAGGCAACAGATTTGACAGCACATCAAAGTAACCACAAAGTTGCTTTCAACAAAGTTGTATAGACCCCCTGCAGTAGGCGTGGTCAATGTATGTAGGCGTTTGTTGTCGGCCATATTGGTGTACATGTTTAAATGCAATGACTGCAATCAGGGCTCCTGCTGCAATAAATAGAGCTTTTTTACTATGATACCTTTCCTCCCTGGAAAATTATAATGCTAGGTAGCAGTACCAAAAAAAAAATCTCCAGTATTAATGGATTGGACTCTTATGAAACCTTGAGAAGTGATTGGCTTAGATGATATTGACTTCAGTGGCCCCAGGCTGCAGTGTCCATACTGCTATGTACCTTATCTAGTAGTAACACAAAGCCCATACACTGGTGATGAGCTTCTTAACTACAAGAGCATTGCAAGAGCCCCTAAACTAGCAAAGAGCTTGCTAAGTCCTTCATCTGTGGGGCCCGACTCAATGCAGCAGCAGAATACAAGTCAACTGACTGAGCCAGATGTTGATGATGAGCAACCATGTGAATCAGTAGAAACTTGAGTTCCTTGCTCACTTGAGGACTGTTGTGAAGATGTAGATTGTGGGAAAACAAGATTTGTCATTGATGTTGAAATACATGCAGATGGCAATGCCAGGTGATAGTGCATGATGGTCATGATGATGAGGAGCAAGAAAAGAAAATGCCATGACTCCTTTTCTTTCCAAAAAAACTCATGTTATAAATTGACTTACCATTGACTTACATTGACTTACATTGACTTACCTTAGCAATCAGTGACAATTCTAAATTTGTCATTTGGAGCTGTAACAAGAATTTCCCTCACCTATCCAGCCCAAAAAAATTCTGGGCTGGATGCATACCATCTATGTTATTATTATTATTATGCATGCATACCATCTATATTATTATTATTATTCAAGCTTTACAACACACTAATCAAGAGAAGAAAACAATGAAAATCATGCATATAGAGATTTGTGCAGTATTGAGGGTCTAGCACCAACTTGTGGAATAGCCTTAATATTAAAATTATCTTAACTAAAACTCCAAAAGCATAAAAAGCATTTTAGCAGTAGTCATTTTGAGCCTGATGAGGTCAACCAATCACTTCTCAATGTTTCATAAGGATCCAATCCATTAATACTAGAGATTTTTTCTTGGTACTGCTTCCTGGCATCATGATTTTCCAGAGAGGAAAAGTATCCTGGCAAAAAGCTATGTTTCTTGCAGTCATTGCATGCAACACATGTACACCAACATGGCCGACATAAAACGCCTACACACATTGACCACGCCTACTGCAGGGGGTCCTGTACAAGAGATTAAAGGCCTTCATACACGAGGCAACTTGTTGCTAGCAACCAAGCAACATGTTGCCAAAAATAGAACATCTTTCTATTTCTGGCAACATGTTGCTTACAAGATCAAATTTGGCAACATGTTGCCTGGTTAGCAACAACTTGAGTTGCCTCGTGTATGAAGCAGGCCCGCTGAGAGAAGACATGGGGCCCAGGGGAAGATTAAAATTAGGGGCCCTTTGCAATAATTCAAAAAATTTACAAATTAAACGACAAGAACTACCAATGCTCAAATATGACCCGAAAATTGCTTGACTGACTTAGGAACACTAGCAATTGAAAGCAAACTTGCAGAACAGCTAAATTTTGATTATATGATAGATCAATTTGCTAGTTTAAAAACCACAAACAGAGGCGTATTTAGGGGGGGGCTGAGGGGGCTTGAGCACCCCCCTCAGGGCTGGGCTCAGAAAAAATTACTGAAGTCCTGGACTCTTGCATCACTACCAAGCCTCTTAAAAAAGTTATCTAGCCCCCTGATCATGATTTCAGCAGTTTCCAGTGCTTTAAGGAGCAATCAGAAGTACCAGTAACATAGCAGTATGCTTGAAATGATCTTGGCCCCACCCGTAATTGACGAAAATGCAGGAAAAGGCCGTTATACCGCCGTAAAAGTGGGTGTGGCCAAAATCGCGGCGCGCTTCGCGCGCCCTCAGCACCCCCTTCCCCAATTCCTAGATACGCCCCTGACAAAGGCACATGTTTAATTATGTAATGATGACTTATTATACTTAAATTATAATGTACATTATTATGGGGGGCCCCTGAAGTGAGGGGCCCAGGGGATTTATCCCCTGCTCCCCCCCCCTCTCAGTGGGCCTGCATGTCTCTAGATCCTTTTAAAGTAATAACAAGAAGGCCTTTTGTTAGTGGATGAGTCTTCTTGCGCCACGCCTGCCACTTTAACAATAGAATATGAAAAAACTACCATAACCAATTGCATTAAGTAGCATTCAAGAAGCTCCAAGTATCTAGTGAAGTCCCATCCATGAACCAGAAAGACGTTAGCAGGCTTTGTAGTGAAGCTTCCTATCAATCCACCATTGTTGAACTGCCGTTGCTATGGTAATTCCAATGAATATCATTAAATTAATGCGACCGGAAGTCCCATTGCAATAGCTGGACATGGCTTCTGTCACTACTGGTAGACTGTCCACACCTGCTACCCAAGCAGGAGATGACAATGGAGTCAGTTCCAATAATGCCCCAACTAGCCATGTGGAGCATCTCAGGGAAAGACTCGATGAACAAGGTCTTTCAAGCCAAGCTACAGACCTCATCCTCAGTTCATGGAGGACAAAAACAAACAAGTCATATGACTCGTTATTTGGGCGATGGAATCGCTGGTGTACGAAACGGGGTTCCAACCCCTTTTCAGGACCCGTAAGTGAGGTTGCTAATTTTTTAGCAACTCTCTATCAAGAGGGTTATCAATACAACTCTGTCAATGCATATAGATCAGCCATATCATCGGTGCATGAAAAGGTTGATGGGCTACCAGTAGGTCAACACCCCATCATCACCAGACTGGTGAAAGGGGTATTCAATGTGAGACCACCCATCCCTAGATATTCTAATACTTGGGATGATCAGAGGGTATTAACTACCTAG